ATTGAATGCAGCTTAAAGCGCACAAGCTGCACATGACTTGACAGCATTTTTGATACACTCACCAATGGGGTATATGAGCTATGTGGAAAGTGTTGGCCTTTAAGCAGGCTTACATTTTGGTATATATGTATGTCAGTTTGTCAAGAGTTACAGTAAGCCCTGCCTAACAGAACTTCAGTTAACTGTTGAATCAAAAGTCCATCCGGGAAATGTCAAAATGAGCTTGGAAATGTAGGGCAGGCACTACAGTAAAGCCATTCACGCTCGTTTCTTGTCTCGTCTCTTGTGAAAATACATATATATATAAATATATATAATTATGAATGTGCATGTTACTTTTGAAGGGATTTCGATCCCCTAACTTCAAGCTGATTTATATATTATATATACAATTTGACTCTTTGATTCCTTGAACTTTTCTGTACATAGACATGTTCTTCCTTTATATGTTTTTCTCGTGTGCCTAAGCACAGTCATTGCCTAATTTTGTTAGAGCATCTTCATCTTCATACACATTGTAGCAGACTCTCTGCAAAATTTACCAGCACTGGACGAAGAAGTCAACGCTAAAAGTTCTTCAAAAATCAGCACAAAATGCGACAAAAGCGAAAAAAAAATAAAGTGAAAAAATAAAATAAAAATAAAAGTAAAAGGTAAAAAATATGAGGGAAAATCAAAATGGCGTCGCCTCGTATGAATGGCAAATAGCGAAATGCTGCACGTACACATTGCACCGCCATTGTGTGTGGCAACAATGCAGTTGGCGACTGTGTGGCAACGCTGTGCCTCACTCCAGCCACAATTCTGGCAACGCGGGCTAACTAGTTAACGAATTCTGGCATTGCATTTGTGTCCAGTGTGCAAAAGTTTTGGGATGCGCTGCCATTCATTCAATTTTTGTCGGTTTTATTAATGCTGGCTTCTGCTCGGTTGCACCTTCAAGCGGAAACATTTCCGGCTGTGCGGCCAGCTGGGTGGGCGGAAGACAGAGTAGGCGGGGCCAGGGCGAACGGAAGTTGAGCTTCAAGTAAATTAACGTTAATTAACGGAAGTTTTTCGGTAAAGTGGCAGCCCGCCCAGGTGCGTGCCACCTGAAGCTGCAGCAACTGATGCTCATTGCAACGCGCAGCCCCTTCCCCTCGCCCCTTCATGGAGCTTGCCTCATCTTAAGTCTGCAGCTTAAGTTAAAGTAGCTGCTGTCAGTTGAAGTGGGCGCCCAACATGCCCCAAGCTGCAAATTAGCCAAGCGGCTGCGACTGAGATGGAGAGGGAGAGAGAGGGTGAGAGCAGGAGGGAGAGAGAGGGAGACGGAGGACGAGTTGCCTCACTGGCTGAGAGCACATGTGCTTCAGCTGTGGTTTTGAGCACTTGGCCTGGCTTTGCCTTTGGCTTTTTGCGTGTGCATTCAATGCGCTTTTGAAGGACAATGGAACTTGTTCGCGTCGCCAGCTTCCAGATACTCGAAACGCTCAACAATGGGCGACAAACAATTGAAATCTGTGTGCGCTTTGTTTTAGGCGTATGCCCATATAAAAATAAAGAGCCTTTAGCTTTTTAGCCAGGGGTTGTGCCACACCCCTGACGACAGCTGCCCCCCGCGCTGCCCGCACATGCTGCAGCAATTTGTACAGCTTTTAATTAAGGCCAGCCAAAGACAAGACCACAAAAAAAAAAAAAAAACAAAAATATAATATGCTCAAATGCCCAGCCAAATGAGCCCAAAAAATGGGGTAAAAAAAAAAAATGAAATGAAAAGAAAGGCAAGGAATTGCCCGGCGAGTGACGAAGGACAATCATAATTGCGGAAGCAGCAGACCAGGGTTTTAGCAAGGACTGCGAAGGACTCGCACAAACAATGCACTCGAATGAGAATTTACGACTCGCTGCCCGCTCTCCCTCCCTCTCCCTCTCTCTTTCGCTCTCTCTCCCTCTCTCGATTCTCCAGCTCTCTGCGCCGCTCGAGAAATTAATTATCGCATAATTTTCTGGCTCAGTGACATCTGAAGAGTTTCATTTACCACTTTTTGACAGATTTTCGCCCTCATTTTGTGCGCACATTTCGAATTTTGTATTTCGCATTTGGTATTTGTATTTGTATTTGTGATTGATTGTGAACTGGCATTAAAATTTAAAAAAAGGGGCACTAAAATATGCGTCGACTGCCCTGCGACCAGGTGTCGGCCAGGACATCAGACCTTCGTGTTGCCGGGTTAGGAATTTAAATTTAAATTTCTTTAGAGCTGTGAAATATTTCCCTTACCAGCCAGAACTTAGCTACAGTGAAGCCTGTCGTGACTAACTATCCTGAACTAAGAACATAATTTAGGTTCTTCTAAGCTTATAAATGTTTATTATTTATTTTTATTTATTATGCATTTTTCATCACATTTTCATAGATCATTTTACTTTGCTTTTATAGTAATTTTAAAAATATTTTACAAGCATTTAAAATAGAAATGGAAGAGAAATATCTTCCCAATTATATTTCTAATATATTACAAATTTAAAGGTTGTTCCATAAATAGGAATAAGTCAGCATTTTTTGCATTATATAAATAATAATAAATATAAATAAAATATTCGTATAATGCATTAAATAATAGTTTACTAGATCTTCAAAATTTGTTTGTCGAAGTTAGGATATTTCTAATAATTTCAACATATTTTCGTAAATATTTAAACACTTTTGTAAAATAACTTTATATATACTTTTTGCACTCTTCAAATTGAAACAATACTAATTATTGTTAAAGCTTGTTTTGATTTAGATAAGATGTATATGTATATGTTTTCTATATTTTCCATAAGCTTATACATTTCATAAATTTCATAAACATAATGGAAAACATTTCACAATGCATAAAAATAGATGTATCTTTTAGAAATTGGATTGGCTAAACAAAAGATAACTGTGAACAGTGCGCAAATTGTGCAAATACCCTTAAAGAAAGAAAGCCAAGTTATATTCAAGACATTTCTAGGGAAATTGATATTATTCCATTGAATATTCGCTTGAATTCGACACGTTGCTTCTGTCTGCCGCCCCCCTTGATACCATGTCACGCCCACATTCCTGTGTGTCTGCCTCTCTCTGTGTGTGTGTGTGTGTGTGTGTGTTTTCCTTTTCTTGTGCCCTTCTTTTGAGCATCATTATCAAATGTTGTTTGGTAAATCATTGCAAATGTTAATTCAATAGCTCAATCAGAAATCACAGATAGCTCCAGAGAGTGTATGTGTGAGAGAGAGAGAGAGAGAGAGAGAGAGAGAGAGGGGGAATGGGAGCAGGCACACAAAAGAACTGCGCCTAAGTTCAATGCCAAGTGCCCATTGTTATTGCTGTTCTTCACGTTCTTGTTGTTGCTCTTCTTCTTGTTGTTGTTGCTGCTGCTGTTCGACTGCCCTTAGTCTTGAGCATTTCCTATTGTACCTCGCTGCCCCCCCTCCTCGTGTCTTCTATTTTATCTGCTTGGCGCTTTGTGTTGCCTTGAACAAAAAAAAAATACCAAAAAAAAAAAACGAAAGACAGAAATTTGCGATTTCTATGGAGATGCTCTCATTTTTGTGTCGTCCGCACTCCTCTGAAAAGTGTGCGTGTGTGTGTGTGTGTTTTTTTCTCGAGGGAGGGTGTGCGTGTGTGTGTGTGTGTGCGTGTCTCTTTTGCGATATTCAACAGATGTTGTAATTGCTCATAAAACTTGATGACGCTGGCGCGTTTAAAGCAACAACAACAATAACGGCTCAAAGAGAAAAATATTCCAAGAGTTTGCATATGGTGATGGGCTATCTCTCTATGTGTGTGCTTACGTGTGTGTGTGTGTGTGTGTGTGTGTATTTATCTTGTCTGTGCCTTTTTACATACATACATTGTATTTAAGATGTAGGATACGGTTGCGTATGCCCATGTGTGTGTGTGTGTGTGATCTGCTTGACATCAGAATTCATACGTCACAGATTTGCATATGCTTATTTAGTACAATATGTGACTTGGCTTTCTCTTGATTTTCCAAAGAGTAGGGGTATTCTTTTATGATTTTTCTGCGGACTTGGCAAAATGTGCTTAACTAATTTGAGTGCAACCGAAACACCGTCAGCAGCCGGCAGCCAATCACATTGTGCCGCTGTTGTGACGCAAGCAAAGGACTATTCGCTCTCTCTAGCGCTACCTATCTCGCTCGCACTTGCTGTGCGCTGGGCAAGTCCCAGGGCTAGCGTCAACGGAAACATGCCGTTGACATGTGTTTTGCAAATGTTACGCTGCCTTTGGCATTCGCCTCTTGTTTCAATTTCTTTTTTTTTTCTCCTTTAACTACAAATGTTTTTGTGTTAAAAAAACACACACACACACAGGGATAGCAACAACAACAAGAGCAGCAAAATACATGTTTTCTAATGCGCGATAAAATATATATTTGTGATAGCGCCGTCTCTTTCCCACGCGATCGGCGATGTCGTGGTCGCTGCCGCAGTCGCGGTCGCTGCTGACGTCGACAGCACAGCACACTGATAAGCTGAGCGCAGGCACAGCATGGCAATGGAACGTGCGCCCGCTCTCAGCTATAATACACTAACAATCTATGCGCTGCACGACTGCACCCAGAAGCGGCAAAGCAAGCGAGCGACTGTTCTCAAGGCATATATGTGCACTTAAATAATTTAGGCGGCAGGGTATACAGAATGCGGCGCGTCAAAAACAATTTGTTTGCGTTTCAGTTCATTTCGTTTCGTTTGCGTTTCGCGCGTTTCAAAATTCAATTCAATTTCGACTGCGTTTTTCAATAGTGCTTTTATTTTTTTCTGTTCTTTCTTTTCTGCGTTCTGTGCTCAGTTGTTGTGCGTCAGCGTTGGCGTGCAGAGCGCCAGCGCCAGCGGCTGCTTAAGGATGTGTGCGTTTGTTTGTGTGTGCTGGTTGTGCTGATAAACATTATATACATATACACAACAATTTATATGCTTTATCAAGTGTTTAAGTACGAAAACTCTGTGCTCTATTCATTTAACAGCTATGGCCGTGCCACGCGCGTTATCATTGGACACATAATTGCCCTCAATCGGGCTAAATGAAAACAACTCGTTGACGTTGCCGCCCCACAAACAAAAAAAAAAAAAACAGAAAAAAGTGTTGCGAGTAAGAAAAGCCTATTACTATATCGCCTATAAGTAACCGCACACTCCGCTCATATCTCATATAACAATTAAGCGCTACGCGTCGCTTAATTGAAATGTTTCAAGGCAAACAAATCAACGGGACAGACCGAAGCGAAGCCCCAACAAATTGTGGCACGCAAATTGGAATTTCATTGTCTTCCACTGACAACGGGTGAGTTTTTTTCTTTTAATCATTTTTTGTTTTTTTTTGGCTTTCTTCAACCATCGATATCTACATATACATATATATGTTAATATGTTTGTGGCTGTGTCTTCATTTAGATTGTCAATGCCTTCGAATGTTGCCTCCTTTTGGCATTACGCATATGCCACATGGCCATCGTAAAAGAACACGTACTGTATTCCATATGGAGGCACTACTCACTGCACACAGACACACAGACACACATACATATGTACATACATACTCATGCATACATATGTCGTCTACCCACTTATATGGTCGAGTAATACCAAAAATACATATGCTTATCGCACCACAAAATGCTCAGCTCGCATTGCTGATAACAAAGCATGCTACACACAACATTTATACACACACACACGCACACACACATGCACACATACATGCACACCATTTGGCAATCAACATTTTGATTATAAAACATTTTATATATTTTTGTTTTTTGAAAAAACTCTTTTAAGCATATTCCAGCACTTGTCAGACTCACGAGTGGTTCATTAGACGTTTTTCTATTTCTTTAATCTATTAACAATGCTTGATTTAATAATACTACATGCAATCGTATTCCCCTTCAGGTTCTTGCCCTCCTATTAATTATCTGTCTAATCTTTCGGTCATAACAACTTGTCCAAAAATTGTTTTGAATCATTCGAGAAACTCGTGTTCGGCTTGCAATAATATTATGTCTCAACCCATTTAAAATTCTGTTTCGGGAAAGTTGTTAAATAAAGTTGCCTGCGAACAGGATATAAAAATAGTTCCTTCTTACAGTTACGTGCCTTCATTTTCCATACTTTCCTTTTAGCTGGCTTCCACTAATTAGGAACAAGCAACAAAAAAAAATGTGGTATATATTGTGCTGCAAAACTATGTTGCATAATGCTTCCTCTTGCTGCCACACCTTCAGGCGTTTGTCTCTATGCGGGCAAACAACAAATGCCTTGAAAACTTTGTTGGATAAAAAAAGAAGAAGAAGAACAAACCCTTTTTCTCACATTTTGCTCCAGTTGCCGGCCAAACAGGATATTCGGGTTGTTCATTAGGCCAGCGAGCTGCAAATTGCGTTGCATAAACTTTGAACTGCCGCTTGCCACAGATAACCACAGGCAGCGCAGTGCATGCAGCGGGCATACCCTGTATGTGCAACATATGGGGTATGCTCAAGCAAGTTGCCTTGGCTTAGCTTAAATCATTTTGTGTCTTTTAACATTTGCAAAAATTGAGAAAATATGTCTTTTAACATTTGCAAAAATTGAGAAAATATTTCATTAATCCAATCATAGTCAAGTTTAAGAAACTTTGAGTCTTAATTGGTCGTAAATACTTGGGAATTGCATGTATCCTTGTCCTTAGCAAAGCATAAAGGGAGGACTCTCAAACCCTATAGAGTTTATCCCAGATCAGCATCAACAGCCGAGTCGATATAGCCAGGTCCTTTTGCCAGTCTGTCCGTCTCTTGTCTCTAAGTTTTCAGGATATCATTTTTGAAACTTTGCATAAGTCATAGGCATAGTTGTTTCTATGCCAAAATAAACTGTTTTCCAACATATTTTCTTCGAACTCAGAACTTAAGAGCTTTACTCAAATATCTGCAAAGCCGTAAGCCAAATGTCTACAAGTATATTAAGACTTCGCTGTGCCAAAGATATCCTTATTTTGTACAGTTTATTTGAGTTGTTTATTTGATTCTTTTCGCAATTTGTAATTCTTTTTTAAATCATTTTTTTTTCTGCGTGTATTTTTTACTCAGTTTCATATTCAGAGATTCGTGCGGCTCTCGCATGTGTCATAAATTTCGCTTTTATCATATTATTTAATTTCGTGTTGTGAGGCGCGCAAAACTTAACGGACACACAAATACATGCGAATGTATGTGTATATATGTATATGTATATATATATATATATACATATGTGTGTGCATTATATGTGTGTTCTGCGTGCTATATAGAATAAACAGTGCTCCAGTGGGATATGATAGCGACTGTTACACACACACAACACACACACACACACACAGCACACATACAGCAAGCAACTACATGTGCACAATCTGTATCTGTGGCTGCAGCTGCATATACATATATGTGTAGATACATTTATATTTATATGTCTATATAATGCGCGTCGCGGGACTGTGTGTGTGCGTGTGTGTGTGTGCCTGTTGTCGGCTTGGCATGCCGTAGCAATAACAGTTAATTTATTCCAATTAAGGGATTTTCCTGTTGAATATGCGACTCTTTTGCTATGTGCGCCGATTACACACACACACACACACTCTACCCCACCTCCCACTCTCGCCCCCACCTACCACGTAGCCGACCCCTTGACAGTTACAAGCCCAATTCGCTGCACAGACGACCCGCCAAGCAGCCCCGCCCCCCCACCAGGCAGCCAGCCCCTCTTCGGCTGCTACCTTGCCAAATGAAATTGTCCGGCTGCCTGCCGCCTGCCCCACCTCTCTTTTATACCCTTCCCGCTCTCACTCTTTTGTTGAATTGTTTGCCTTTTGGGATTTTTGCTGTCCGTTTGTTGTTGTTTTTGTTGTCAGCAGCCTTGTCGCTAAATTAACACACACACATGTGTTTTTTTTTATAATATTAGAATGGAAAAAAAATTAGCAACATGTCGTTGTCGTTGTCGTTGCTGTTGCTGTTGTCCTGCCTCCTGGCACACATAATATATATATATACATTTTTTTTTGGCCCTGCTTGCATAATCCTTGCGGGATTTGCCACACATGACAGCAGAACGTGCCGCAGGAATTCCTCTGTCCTTGGGCTAATTTTGTGTCAGCTAACTCACGCCCACTAACCCCATCTCTCCCCTCTCTCCCCTCTCTCTGCCTCTCTGGCCGCTGTCTAATTGTATTTATGCCGCCAATTTTGCGGCGTCCAGCTGCCACATCTTTGGACACATGCGGCATATCCATCAGCGCGTCGCAAACATTTTGATAAATGCCCACAAAAAGCGCTTCAAATAAATAAAAAATTTTAACGGAAGCGAAATGTATACACACACACACACACACTCGCTCACTGCGCACACACACTATGCTTCGATTATTAAAATTCTAATTGAAATTCAAATGTGCGTCGCCTTCTTCTGGTTGTTGTTTGTTGTCGCTTATCGTTCAAGTGGCACTGCCCCCCTCCCAATATGTTGGCGACGCGTCGCGCCGTCGCTGCCAGCACATGTGCCCCGCTGCCCCCATTAGCCCCGCCCCCCCACTTCAGCGGCTTCCGTCATGCGGGCTCAGGAAGTGGACAGTTAAGCGCAGTCGTTCGCGCATATGCCCTCTGCCCTATAAGGCATATGCTAAACCGTTTCTGTAGAGAAGTGAGGCGGCGAGGCAACAACTTTTAGCAGACACTGTTACACTGTTCGTCGCAGTTTCAGTTTTTTGATCGAATGTGGCGCCCCTTCTCCCTTGTTGTTGTTGTTGTTGCCGCCTTGGCGCACGTCCAAGAGAATTTTCCTCGAGTCCAAACATGAAAAGAAAATAACATTAATTCAATTTGAATTGGTCAAGCATATTTATTGACATATTGAATGCTGTGAGAAATGGGCAATTGATTTGATTTTATGTCGATGGCAACGGAAGGCAATCAATTTTAACAAACTGCAAAAAAGAATAGAGGTCACAAATAAATATAAATAAAAGCCGTAAATCTGCAAAAATAATAAGGAGACAAAATTAGAAAACCAATATAATAATTTGAACAAAATAAATTAATATATATATTAATAATAATAAAATTAACAAAATTTAAGGAAATGATTTAAAACAAAAATTAAGCAAAATTACAAATTTTGAGGAAATATGTTTATAATATATATATTGATATATTAGATAGAAATAAGTCCAATAATAATTAAGGCTATCTAATTTATATAAAAAAGCGACTATTTAGACAATTCTTTAAATTCTTCGCTTACCGCAGCAAAAAAAAGTTACTCAAAAACCTACAGAATATCCTTTAGCTATATTTGACTCAAGTAAACATGAGAGTAAATGTTTTTTTTTTTTTTTAAATTAACATAAATGAGTTTCCTAGAATGTTTCGAAGGTTTATTTTGTTGTGTTTCATAATTTCAAATTGATTTGTGATTTTATATATTTTTATTCGTAGTTATATATATATACTTAGTTTTGTGATTAATCTAAAGGCTTTGGGATTGGCTGCCCGACAAACTTATTAGATCTTTGAGAGCAGGGTTGCATATAGGGCTTGTGTTGCCACTTTGTGTGGCATCTATGTGTTGCCTCAATCTGTGCGGCAGTGCAAACTAATCTGTCAAATTACTCATGCAAATCACACGGCAAATTTTCTGCAATGGACGAACTCGCAACCCCAAGGCAAGGCAAGGCAAGGCTCAGATTAAGGATTCTTGTTGTTGTTGCGATTGTTGTTGTTGTTGTTGTTGTGGTGGCAGCGCACACATGTAATTGAGCCTGCGGTTGCTTGAGCCTGGCCAGCCTAGCTGTTGTTTGGTGGTGGATTTTCTTGGCCATTTCGCTGGCATTGCCCATCAATTAAATTGACTTTGCCCGGGGCGCAGTTGCTGCTGCTGCTGCTGCTGCTGCTCTGTCACAGTCTGTATGATTAATTAGCGTCTTAGTCTGACGTTTTTCCCAGCAAGCAGAGCTCGACTGTGCGGCCATTAAAACATTTCCAATTGATTGGCCGTCCGGCCTGCTCGCCGTGTCTCCTTGTCTCCATCTCCGCATGGATATCAATTATGCATGTGAATTGTCTAGCTGCGAATGCTCTCTCTGCCCACTTATCAGAGACCAGAGGAGCAGTGGAGCAGTGGAGCAGAGGAGCAGAGTCTCTGCCCTAATCTTTGCTTAGCTGCGCAAACGACTTCCCTTCAAATTGTGCTCCGAACTGGGTTCTATTTGGGTTTAACTCACAATTTCTATTTGCATGCACAACTCTCTGAGTGAGTGTGTGTGTCTGTGTG